CCCCAACCCCCCCATTGAGATTATTTCTTTTGTTACTTATTTTGTTAATAACTTTTTAACGAATAACGAGCGACGGCTAAATTTTCTTGATAGTCACTCTTTAAGAGTCAAGATTAAGATTAAAGTCAGTCAGAAGTTATTTGGGGCTGACTATGTAAAGGTAAACATTTACCCCATTTTACTCTATTTCTATTTCAATTCAGCTGTAACTACCTGCAAGCGAGATTCAGATGATTATTCTGCTTGTTTAAAACGCGCTGTAGAAAAAGCATGGCCACGATTTATGGCAGGTATATATTTTTAATATTTTGTAAGTTTTTATTATTCTAATTTATATTTATATTTTGTAAATAAAATATGTTTATTACTACACAACATCATTACATCACTACAAAGGAAAAAATATATATGTACTACATATATAGGTATATGTACATACATAATTATCATTAATGGTAAACTTATATACATAAATTCATACAATTTTCAATTTTTGTAAGACAAAAAGAATAATAATTTTTCTAATCAAATCACTTTGAAATACAGATTTTTATTAGTTTATTTGTCTTGATAGGACTACCAGAATTTGACTTTCCACCTTTGGATCCATTAGTTTACAAATATGGTAGAGTGAATCTTAATTCTGCTGAGATACGAGGAGAATTAATTATATCAAATCTCACTTCTGCTGGGGTATCAAAAACTCGTATTTTTGATGTAAAAGCGTATTTTCTTCATGACGTTTTCCATTTAGAAATTGACACACTAATACCAAGAGCGTTTTTAAAAGGTGCCGTAAAAATAAATGGCTCTGTAAATATATTCAGAGTTGTTAATGAAGGTACAATAATTCTATATAACCAGTTGCATAACAGACAACGTTATATATTTTAAGTATTTATATATACGAGGTGTGATCAAAAAATACAATGAAAGTTGAAATAAAAAGAAATATATTATATTAAAAGACAAATGACAATTTTTTCCTCTTCAAAATACTCTCCCTAATTTCTAATACACTTATCCCAATCATTCTTGCCACTTGCTAAAGCAGTATTGGAAGTTCTCTTTCATAAGTGCCTTTAGTTGCGCTGTCGTGGCTGCCTCGATGTCTGGAATTTATTTGATAGAAAACGTTTATAGTAAACTCTGAATATTATATAAAGGCTTATTAGAGCTTTTAAGTTAGTTTAAGAAATGAAGAATGTGTAGAAAAAACCTGAGAAACGGGCAAATAATTTCATCCTCCATCATGACAACGTTCCATGTCACATATACCACTTCTGATACGGCAACTTCTGTTAAATAAAAACA